CTCTAATTACAACACGTTGCTTCCTGCCTGTAATGAAATGCCTAAACCATGTCAATAAACTCCCTTCGATACCATAACTTCTTAACTTCAAAATCAATCTTTCGTGCGGCACACTATCGAACGCCTTTGCGAGGTCAAGAAATGTAACATCAGTGGGCACGCCGGAGTTCCTAGATCTCACCCAATCATCAACAGTTGATAGTAGTTGTGTTACTGTTGACTTGCCTTTCAAATAGGCAAACTGATTCTCACTCAAAATATTCATTCTATACCAGAAATCGAGAACTCTACTTCGAACAACTTTCTCTCCTATTTTGCATATAATCCCTGTAAGAGATATCTGACGATAGTTTTCTCTACTATTCTTCGAACCTTTTTTAAAAATCGGTGTAATGTTGGCAGTTTTCCACTCTATAGGTAGCATGCCCATCGAGAATGACTTATTTAGCAAATATGAGATTGAAGGTGCCAGCTCTGTTGCACATACCTTTAGAATACGTGCAGGGATATTGTCAGGTCCTGGGGACGTCTCTACCTTAAGATTTAGAAGAAGCTTTCCTACTTCGTCAACAGAACAACGGATGTTCTCTAATCTCTCGTCCACAATATAGTCAAGCACTGGGATATTATCATAATTTCCAACTGTAAAAACAGAAGAAAAATACGAGTTCATGCTATCTGCAATACCTTGGTCGTCAGTGAAAACAGATTTTCCAACTTTCAGGGATATCAATTTATTTGTTCCTTTACACTTGGATTTCACAAAGTTCCTAAATGGTTTGCGATTGTTGTTGTCTGTCAAATCTTGAGCTGAATCGGTTATATACCTCCACCGAGCTTCATTGCACTTCCTTTTCAAATTGTTATTCATTTGACGATAACGAATCCAGGTACTTTCATTTTGGCTCCGTTTTGCTTTTTTATAAAGTAGCTTCTTCTTCCTACATAGAGATATTAGCTCTTTGTTAATCCACGGCGCATTTTGTCTTTTTTCCCTTTTGTTTTCGGGATGCATTCATCTACTGCTGCAAAAAACAGATCTTTCCATGAATTCCAATTATCATCAATACTCTCTTCAAGAAATGCTAAGTTCCATGGAATTTGAGACAACGTTAATTTCAGTTGTAACCAATCAGCTTTTTTGTAACAATAAACATATTTTTTTTATTTAAGCTGGACATATGGTTGTCCAGTTAATAAAAACGTAATCATATTATGGTCTGAAAACTTTTCACCGACTGATAGGTTTTTTATGCTATCAGATGAAGTTGATAGAACAAGATCAAGTATATTATGTTCCCTCGTGGGTTCAGTAACCAACTGAGTTAGAAAATTGTCTTGAATGATATCCATTAATATTGAATAATTTTCAGAGTTACTTAAAGCAGTATTGTTCGACCATGAGAAATCAGGCAGGTTAAAATCCCCTAAAAGCACAAGGTCAGACGTAGACAGTTTGTCCAGATTAGTTCTAAGATCAATTAGTGATTCGGTGTTTGAATCCGGTGACCTATAGAAAACTCCTAACGTAGTTCTCCGATTATTCGAAAATACAATCTCAACCGAACATCAGCTCTGAGCTACAGTAAAGATCATCTCTGGGATAAACATTGATCGAGTTTAATACCGCAATTAGGACCCCACCACCATGACGTCCATTTATATTTCTGTCGCGCCTAAACACCGTATAATTATCAGGAAATATCTCTGCATCACCGATGCTACTGTCCAGGTGGGTCTCGGTTAAAACAACAATATCGTAAGAACCATTAGCTATTTCCAAGTCCAGCTTGTTTACTTTGTTAACTATACTTCTAGCATTTGTATAGAAAACAGCAAGGTCTATGCCCTTCCGGATTTTTTTCATTCATAACGTAATGTGATTGAAGCTCTTGATAAAACTGTCTAAAATCCTAAGTTTCCTTATTTTTGTCCTGCCATTTGGCCTGTGATACCCATGGTCGTGCGTACACAAAACCCGTTCGTAATCCCTACTATTGACGTTAACGCGAATGGCCACAGTACCTTTTCTTTTACTTTTGAAAATCCTTATAACAGTTGGAGAAATACCTTTACGCTCCATATATTCAGTAACTAACTCCGATGTTGCGCCCTCCCGAGCTCCACCGAGATACAATCTCTTTACCACTCTTCTTGCTACACTAACAAATTCAGAGTTGGTATTCGAGGTCGTTTGTTGCTTCAGTGTCACAAGGTCAAAGTGGAACACACAGCAGTGGAACAATTAGTAAAAAGTTGTTAAAATCGACACAATCGAGTCAAGCAAGCATAAGCTTACTTCCTCGTATGTAGTCCATAGCAACGCATTTTTTATTAACACAGATTGACAGCCTCACAGAACGTTTTGCATGATACGCCAAAATACATCAAGAATATACAAGCGCAGACAAAAATATTGTCCAGTGAATATTTCTGAGGAACATTAGATGTTTTTAACTGATTCAACCAAACAGCGTACGTGAGACTAATTAAATGTGATCGGCTGATCAATATAAACCTGTCAAACTCTCTTTGAAACATGAACGTTTCGGCTGAGAATAGAGAATGTTCTTCCCTGTATGTAAACGATGGTTTAACAGGTTTGCCTTGGCGACGCATGCGATAAAACATATAATATAATTATATGAATTGACCTTTACAAAATTTTAAACAAAGAGTTTTTAATACAACTATCAAAGTTCTCTGCCCACGCAAGTTCAAATGTTTCCCAGTAAGTGATTAAGTCAATGAAAATATTTTTATTTCCTTTTTTCCCAGAACAAAATAATTGAAGAAGCAATTTTATATTGATGTGAGAACATGCATGCTTGGTGGCAGTAATTGTACTGCTGGTTACATAGGGTAGTTCCCTTTAGTGTGGCGATGGGTTAAAATTAGTGTTGGAGAATTGTTTTGGGGGCTTTTTGGGGCTTTATATGGAAAGATGACGTAGCTGCTAGTACAGAAAGTCCTGGGCACGAAATTGCATTGTCGCGACTGACCTCAAAACTGGATAGTGCATCTACTATGCATACGATTAAGGCAATGCCCGAACGATACTGGTTTGATCAACACAAATCTACCCTCAGTGTTACTGACATGTTAGAAGAGGTTCGAACAGTTTCTGGTAATTGACGGGAATTGTCTAGATAGAAATTGATCTTTCTTCCAGTGATTTACCAGTGAATGACTGCATCAAGTGACAAGTGTTTTTTTTATCCTGTGTTTAAAACGTTCTAGTCTTTAGTTCGAATACGCGTGGGAAAGTATTTATTTGAAGCATAAACGTAGAAAAAATACGCAATTTGGTGGTAAAACTAATTTAAATACGTTGTCAAATTCGTTTGGTACAGAAAAAAATTGACAGATTTGGAATACCTCTCTTCATCGTGACTAATATTCTTGCTGTTACGTAATCTTTGGCACCCAATGATCCAATGATGGGTGCCTAACATTACTCTGATATTCAGTTTTAACTTTTAAAATGAGTGGGTTGAGCTCTCGCGAGTAAATTCTAGAATCCCATGACAACAGAACTGAAATCTATTCTGACGTCTGAGTATATTCCCGAAAAATCCTGCTTGATATCGTCAAGTCACTTATTTGAATATCCAAAAATCATATAGATTTAATAACTCGAATATTCAATACAATTTACAAAAAATTCATTTTCTAAAATTATATATGGGGCACTCAGAGCCATCGTGATTTATGCATGTGTTTGTAATAATCGGGGTTTCGTTTGACGCCTGATATATCCCAGACTGAAATGTAATATTCCCAGTATCATTCCCAGTGAGGTCCATGCACTCATACAATACAAGAAATAAAGATCATCTTAATAGAGTATACCTGCCATAAATACTTACTGGGGACAATTAAGAACAAACTATCATTTTGCTAAGGATTGGAATATTTTAGCCTGAATTTTAAGTCTCATACAGTATTGGAATTTGTATTCGCAGTTTTTAAATCTAGTTTGAACTCTTTTCGCAATTTTAAATATAGTGACCAGCCCTGTTATTCGTATGATTAGACATAGCTTAGTGCAATATGCTGTATATGGATCTGCTTTACTATCTTTTAATGTTTTACCTTTATTGATTGTATTAGTTAATAATCCCAGGGCCTGCATGAAAAACACTTTCGAGTGATTGTGGCTCCCTCATAAAATACGTTCATAAAAAAATGGGTGCATGATTTGAAATGTTGAAACTGATTTGCATTTTGAAATTTGAAAACTGTTTGCATTTCATAGCCATCATTTCCTGTAGTTGAGTTAAGACGGATATGAAGTAAAATAATTATAGTCTTCATGCCATTAATGCTGGCTTTTCTTGAATCTTATAAATCATTTAAAAATATCCTTGAAACGTAGAATTCTTTTTAAAAAATCCATGCCTCCTGAGTAATTTAGAATGTTGTTCTTTTGTTTTCTTTTAAATCTTATATATATATATATAGTTTAAAAAAAATTAAACAAAGACTGTTAAATTCAACTGCTGCCCACATAAATTCAAGTATTTCCAAGTAAGCCATTATTAAATCAATAATTTTACTCCCCCTTTTTTCCAAGAACGAACTAAACAAAGAAGCAATGTTATAAGATACATACATGACTGCATTAAGGTCTGTGATTTTAGTAAAGCCATAAGCTATAGGTGGAGTCGGGAAACCAAAAACCCAGGGTTTTTTTGCCTAATAGAGTTTCAACATATATTTTCATATATCTATAGATGACTGACACCATTTAAAAGCATTGACATTTTTCTTGTTTCAGTGAGGTCAATATTTGCATGAAACTCGGACTATCGACTAAAGTAATGAGATAAACATGAATTATTTTAAATAATTTCAGCACACCAGTTGATCGACAAATTGGTTTAATCAAGATTACATCATTTGGATTACATGTTCCTACATTTCAATTTAGATTACATAAAGTACCAACCCTTGATTGCATTTCGCAATGCGAAGTTTTTAAACTGATAATTGAAAAATGTTGATTAAAATAAAGCAAGTATATGATAATTATAAACTTAAAGTAGAATTAATATCGTGCTATTAGCACTATATGATTATATAATTAGTCCCCTACTATTCGAAATTTACTGTGATTTAATCTTGTTCCTTTACTATACTAATTAGCCAATGTGAATATGTTAAATGGATCTTAAATGCGAATGACCCGATTTACGCTAGAGACGGCCAAATTTGGACGAATTTTTGCGAGCGGAAAAATTAAGATATTTCGACGACATTAGACCAGTTATCAGGAAAATATCAGGCATGATTTGTTCCCAAAACCACTAAGGGATGAAAATTGAAAGAAATATAATGAAAAATGTTGACAGGTTAAACGATGAGCCATGCTCACAGTTTCCCTGCAATATTTTATTTCGTCTGGGTGGTTTATCTATCGTGTTTACACTAAACTTTAAGGTCATGTCACGCGAGGCAACGTTTGCTGCAACTTCAGATATACAGAGCCAAATGAGTGAGTCATGTTATCTAAGACGTAGTTACAGAGAAATAATGAACATGGCCCGCACACTACTCTGCCGAAACTTTATGCACTATTTAAAGCATGTACAGCAGTGTTTTATCAGATACAAAGATACCAGACGAAGCCGAGTATCTTTAGGTCTGATAGAACACGCACTGCGAATGTTTTAAGTTGCTTCAAAAACGATCGATCTTATAAGTTCATTGGCGAAGTAATTTTCAAAAAAATACGTTGTGTAAGTCAAATAAATCAAAGTTAAAGTTTATGTAAATCAAGGGAAATCTTTATCACATATAAAGATACGTGACATGCTTATGATTTTTTTTGTTTTTTCCTCATGAATTACACATAACATATTCTAAAGGATGAAAATGAAAGAAACGGGATGTAAAATGTCAACGGAGTAAACCGTGGACCATGCTCAGAAATTTCCAATCTTTTATAGCTAGCAATTAAGGCTCTTCTGTGGCAGAAACTGCGTTGCAAGTTGCAGCAAATATTGGATCGTGCAACATATGACCGAATGATCCGTCTGACAGACGATGTGTTTTGACGAATGATCCATCTCTAGTGTAAATCGGACAACTCAGTTCTTTTAACGAACCAATAT